GCGCAGGCTAAGTGACTAGGCGTCAGGACTTCCGGCATGAGTCGTGACTTCCGACACCAACAATCACCGAAAAATATTCTATGTGCTCGTGGAGTGCTAGAGTGTCTCTCTTTTGATTTTATTTTTATGCTTGAGCACTCTATCTTCCTCAGACCAACTAAGTTTGCATCCCTCTTTATAGTGCGGCGGATCCTAAACTCAAAAACAAGAATAAAACCCTTGGAGAGCGCTTTAAGTTCGTCCGCCTTTACAACTTCAAAAATTGAGGGATATTATTTCATCTTTATCAACTCTTTGAATCTTTCATGTGACTAATAGCTGCGACATATCTCATTAATACGAAGACGCGTGTTGTATCAAATTTTTTCTAGGATGAACATATATAGGACGTCCGATGGCGTGCTGTATCAAACTTTTTCTCTACCTTAATACACGTGATCGAGAAAAAAAAGTCTGAGACCAGCACATCGGACGTGAGCTACTACTCACTTAACAAGTAACATTGTGGATGAGTTGGAGAAACTGCCGCATCGTCAGCATATAACGATAGGCGGAGTCTTGCGTTACATCCTCTGAGCAGAGTACATGGTGCATGGTGTCGATGTCTAGGATGAACATATATAGGGCGGCAGAGGAGGTCTCTCCTTGCCGAAATCCTCACGCATGCTGAATCCTTGTCCCATTTGTTCCATTAGAAGAAGGGCCATTTTGAAGAATGGAAAATGATGAAGTCTTGAAAAATGATCGCTCCAGGAGTGCAGGTTGGTCTTGCAGGTTCCGGAGTCCAATACACGATGTGGGAGAGTTGCCTGCTTGATCGTTGAGGCGACACTGAGCACGGACCAGCCCACTTTAAAAAAAAAAAACAGAGAGAGCACGCTATCGGCGACGACGATAGACATACACCTGTGCGGCTGTGCTGTACGTGCAGCCCTTCCCGGTGCTCGTTTGGCTTTTGCCTGTCGCTGACGCCTGCGGCATGTTCGCTTACTTATCGAATAATAATGTTTTTCTCTCATAATAAATCAGCATCAGCATCAACCGTTTTCCAAACCAGCCGAACAGGGCCTGCACCGCCAAAGCCGGTAGAAACACGACGCGGCCGGGCTACACAAGTTGTGCTTGTGCCGCGGGCTGTGGCCTGTGGGTAGCTAAAGAGCACCTGGAACAGCTCCTCCTGTCCATCCATCCACCCCTCCCCTCCCGCGACGCTGCGACGTCCTCGTCACCGCCCACAGATGGAGTGAGCGGGTGCCCGCGCGCCGGGCCATTCGTGCGGACGGTGAACTTGCTTCGCCCAATCACACACATCCGCCAGGTGCCCGGTGCCCGCCCCTGGTCAGTGGTCGTCATCCATCCATTATTAGCTGATCTTTTTTTCCCCCCGCGACGCTCCACGGGAAAACGTACTGGATTCTGAATGAATTACATAACACGAGGGTCCTCACTGCTGCCGAGCTCACGACAAGTCGCAGGTGAGGTTACAACTCATCGCCGGCACGTACCACGACCGGCATGCGACGGGGCGTTGCTTGCCCGGTGAGACAAACAAACTAAAAGTTGCCTGGCTCCTCAAACGCTCCAACAGATTCCCGTCCGAAATTTGGTAGTCGAGCGGGAACAGAACACGCCAGCTGTTTGAGCGGGTTTTGCTTGGTAACATTTGGATTTTGCGTGCTAAAAACGAGTGGCCGTGGATAGAAATAGCAGGGAATAATGACGCTAGCTCTTTGTTTGTATGGAACGGTCAACCAGGTCAAGTGCTGTCCGCGCCAGCAGCCAGATTCCCCCATCCGGCCTGCCCAAAGCTGAGTACTTACTACAAGCAATCCACCACAGTGATAGCCAGCGAACTATTCACGCGTAGCTGGAGTGTCCCCAAACCCATGGATGCCGATGCCGGCAAGCAAGCTTCTTCCATGGCGTGCATGCAGCACGGTTCACAAAAACGAGCCGCTGCTGTGATGAGGATACACCTGTACTTACAGCCCCTAGCTAGTAGGCGATCGAGCACGCCATCCATGATCATGTGATGTGCCGTCCACCGTTTTACCTGATCCCCGGCCGGCCCGTTTACTAGGAAGCGTTGGCGTCATGTTTTGAGCTAGTATGCAACAAGTGAGTTCTCGTGTACTTGTCCGGTGTCCATTCTACCTCCGACCCAACAAAAGTCGCCTCAGGGCTCACGGCGAACCGGCCGCTTCACTCTCAGTTCACTTGGAACAGGATTCTTGGCCTCATCGTCATCGCGTTGTAAACTAAACTTCTCTAGCAGTATAGTACGGAGTAGGTCCTTACCCAATTGCAACGTGATAGATATTATTGTAAGCACACGAAAGTAGTCATCATCAAGTAGACACTTCTCTAGTTCTAGGAACGCCACCACGTATCCGGTCGCCAACGCGACTCGGCATGCAGCCGGTGGAATTAATCCAACGAGGCCAGCGAAAGGGGTGCGGGTGGCGCCTGCGTGCCAGCGTTTGCACGTCTCACAACGGTTAAACCTGGCTTAGGCTGCCACGTACGTACGCACAGCTGCACCTGAAGCGCTTACGATGACGCACGCAGCAGGTCGATGCAAGCAAGCTCTGTGCCTGATGGCCTGTGTGTGTGTGTGTGTCCTACAGGAACCGCCCGGTCTCGCAACGTTTCCTCCAGCGACGTCCCTGCCACACGCCGACGAGACGAGCCAAAGGCGAACGAACCCAACGCAACGCCGACACGAGTTAATTTCCGTCGCCGGATCGTCGGAGGCCGGTGACGTAGACGTACACATCGGCGCGGCGCAGCAAGATTTACGCATGTCCATTCCCTGACGTTTTCTACGGGGAGACGCGTCGAAATCATCAAGGGCGCCATCTAGATCCAAGACTCCAAGGCCCCAGCCCGGGGAATGAAAGGCAGGCAGGTCGCGGAATCGCAGGCCACAGTGAACTCGAGCCAGTTTCACCTCGATCGTCACTGGCCTGCTGCGCCTGGGGTGAAGGTGTAGATGGATCAGAGATGGTTGCTCGATCAGTGAACCGAATGGTAGCTACGACTAGCCCCTTTTGAGTTTTGATGATGACAACTCCACCTAATTCTGGGCGATTGCCGAGCCGAGTACGAAAGCTAGTCGTTTCATCGTGTCCTTTTGTAATCTTCAGCAACAATTTGATCGAGTCAAGATTGTAAACCGATAGCAAAAGATAGGAGGTAGCAATGCTCTTTGTAGAACAACAATCGAGTCGAGCCAACTAGAGTGGCATGGAACTGTCAACCAGGCAGTTTTTGTGTAGCGGCCAATTCCCTTCATCATATCCGCCCAAAACTGACGAACCAGATCGATCCAAGGGCATTACCATCATTTCACCACGGTAGTTAGCTAGTACTTACTGTGCGAGCTCGAGAGTCGAGACCCTGGCTAATCTCCATGGATGAAGACACTCCACGTATGAGGGTGCGCAGCTCGGTGCACGGAGGACGACGATACACCCGCACAGCCCTATACATCTGTCCACGATGATCCATATCCCGTGTGTTCATCTGCCACGACCACTCGTTCGATCCGGCTCACGATCCGTCGCCGACTGCAGTTTTGCAGCGCGTTCGCGTGACGTTTTTGAGCAGCGTGAGAAGCGAATTCCCGTGTTGCAAAGCCTTTCTCCTCCAGGTTCATGGTGAACCGAGACCACACACCCGCACAGCGGTCTCCTGCTCCCGTTTCGTGAAAAACAGGATTAGCATCCGGTTTAAACTTCCAAATTTTTATCGGTGAATCCTTGACCAACCTGGGCCTGAAGATTGTACGCATCTGAGCGCAGCAAAAGTATAAAGTTTTGTGCTTGTATACCACGTATTGGAGCGTGAATTTGACCGGTCCGTTTCCATCAGGCACGACGGGTACTGGTACTACCACGGCCCTGCCTGCTTTGACCTCTTCCAGGACGGATTCCTCCGCGACCTCCGTAACGAAAACTTTCGAAACTCACCCAGTTCATCTCCCCATCGCGAAATCAGATTCGAACGGATTCGTGCGTCGAGCAATTCGAAAGATTTTCATGAACGAACGAAGCTGGGCTCGCAAGTGCAACGAGGTAGCATGTGTCACCCGTCATGCTTTCTCCCCCCAACGGCAGCAGCAAGCTCGGACCACTCTCGAGCGATCAGCTCCGGATCAGAGCGTGGCAACGCAAATGCAGCTGCGGGAGCACCTTCCCCATGGACGGGCGCGCCGGAGGGCGGCGGCGCTCCGGCGAGACGGCCGGCGACCGCGCCGGCGCACGGCGCAAAGGTGGCTGAAGGTCACACACCGCCCGGGATGACTGCTCCGGGGTGTGTCAGTTGCGTCGCGTTCCGTCCGGCCGTAGCCCGTCGAAACGACGTCGGTTTCGCGAGATCCGGGGCTCACCGGCTTCCTCTGCTAGCCTGCTACACGGCCGTGCCGGGAGGAGGCATTGTTCACCGGTGCACCCCGTGTCGCCGGCCGGAAATCCCGTCCAAACTCACACAAATGCGCCGGCCGGACCAGTTCGGATTCCCGAGCCAATATCTCTATGTACACTCAACGGAATCCAATGGTTTTACACTTGTTTGAAAGATATGCTCCGTTACTACGTGTATACGAATTTTGAGACGGATCGGTTGATCAAGCGAAGAGATATTCGATTGCAAATCGGGAGGAGAAGCACACTCTGAGCCGAGTTCGTGCGCTCGGCGGCCGGCTGCGGGGCAGGAATCCGCGGCACCGCGGGGGGCGGTGTGACGACCGTTGGATGTGGGAGGATCGAACGGATAAGGTTCAATGTGGGGCGCTGATGGGGGCGATCCGAGGCGCGGCCGTATGGACCAATCAGCGCGCGGCGTTGGGCTCTCCTCGTCTTCGTGTCGTCGCCACTATTTAAGCACCGCTTCCTCCTCCCCGACCTCTTCACCCACCACCGCAGAGCTCTCTCTCTCTCTCCTCTGCACACCCGAGCTCGCCGCGCTCTCCTTCATCGTCGAGGTCCAGTGCTGCATTGATGGCGACCGACGTGGCTGAGACTCCCGCGCCGTTGGCGGAGGCGGCCCCCCAGGCCCCCGCCGAGGCCCCGGCGGCGCCCGCCGCCGAGGCGAAGCCGGCCAAGGCCAAGAAGGCCGCCGCGCCCAGGAAGAAGACGAGCCCGACCCACCCGCCGTACGCCGAGGTAATTGCAGCCCTCCCTTGAACCCTTTGCTTGCCGTGTTGGCTTCCTCCTCCCGTGTCGTGCTTTGGCTCTCCGTCGCGTCTGGATCTAACGGAATTGTGGATGGTTGGTGCTCAGATGATCTCGGAGGCGATCACGTCGCTGAAGGAGAGGACGGGGTCCAGCCAGTACGCGATCGCCAAGTTCGTGGAGGACAAGCACAAGGACAAGCTCCCTCCCAACTTCCGCAAGCTCCTGCTCGTGCAGCTCAAGAAGCTCGTCGCCGCAGGCAAGCTCACCAAGGTGAAGAACTCGTACAAGCTGCCGGCCGCACGCGCCCCCGCCGCCGCTAAGCCTAAGCCGAAGCCCAAGCCCAAGCCCAAGGCCGCCCCGAAGAAGCCCAAGACCGTCGCGAAGAAGCCCAAGGCTGCCGCCAAGCCCAAGGCCAAGGCCCCTTCCAAGGCGAAGCCCGCCGCAAAGCCTAAGGCCCCTGCTAAGGCGAAGCCCGCTGCCAAGCCGAAAGCCGCAGCCGCCAAGCCGAAGGCTGCAGCCAAGCCCAAGGCAGCCGCCAAGCCGAAGGCCAAGCCAGCTGCCGCGAAGCCGAAGCCGAAGCCGAAGGCCGCCGCCGCCAAGCCGAAGCCAGCTGCCAAGAAGGCCGGACGCCCCGCCAAGGCCGCCAAGACGTCGGCCAAGGACACGCCGGGGAAGAAGGCGCCGGCGACCAAGAAGCCCGCGGCGGCCGCGAAGAAGTCCCCTGCCAAGAAGGCCGCTCCGGCGAAGAAGTCTGCTGCCCCGGCGCGGAAGGTGCCTGCCCGGAAGGCGAAGAAGTAGAGCTGCTGTCGGCGCTGGAGGAATCTAGGGTTTCGTTCTCGTTTCGTGCTAGATGTTTACTCTTTTTTGGTCTTCCCTTAGTCGAGGTTGTGTCTGGGGTACTTAGCTTGTAAATTTGATATGGGGGGCGGGGGTACACTGGTCAGTCGGTACCCATGGTGAAAATGCGGAGGCGACGGCGACGATGACGAAGGAGTCTGTGTTATTATTACTAGAAGAAGGGTGTATTTCTGTAGCTGATGGAGTTGTTTTGCTCTTCGAGTTGTTAAGGTTTATGTGGTGATAAAGTTTATGTCGAGAATTACCTACCTTTGCTGATTTACTGTTGTGTTTTTGTGTGTTCAAACTGTTCTTGGTTGGGGTCCTGATCTGATCTGAATTCCAGATCTGAAATAGGATTGTTCGGTGTGCATTTCGTGACCAACTTGCACAGCATCCATTGTATACGTACAATTTTTGTATGTTGCTTTCGTTCTACGTCTGGTAGCCTACGGGGCTTTATGAGCTGTAATAGTGATCTTTATTTCATTATTATTATTTTATTGTCGTGATCTATATATGGTTTGATGGGCTGAGCTGATCTGGGCTTAAAACAGATGAAACCCTTGCCGGCCGCGCGTTGCATGTCCTGACGGCCCGCGCCAAGCTAGGTCTGGTGGCGTGGCCGAGCCGCTGGCTGACACGTACTAGACGCCACTCGTTGGCGTGGTTTGAGGCGGGAGAGCTCAAGGTTTCTCAGGCCGTCGTCTCTCTCTCTCTCTCTCTTTTTTTTTTGATTTGGAGCGTAAAGAGGAAAGATACGCACCAAGGAGTAACTGCCCTAACCCTAGGAAGGGTGTGCGCCTCTTTTTGCTGTGAAACTTTCCGCTTTTGACCCCCTCTACTGGCTACAGTACTGCTTTTATTCTCTGTTTGTTCGGTCATCTTGCATCTTCTTGGGTTTTTGCCGTGAAACTTTCTCGCTTGTTGATAGCTGGAGTCGAGGTGGATATCTTTCTACTACTGCTACTGGGAGGGGATGCATAGGTGGATTCTGCCTCTCCGGTGTCGTGTCTTGACTCGAATGGGCAGACGAATCCACGGAACGAGGTAAAAAAGGACGAGCTGGCGAAACGAGTCTATACTTGGATGGAGTCGACCGATCCGATCCTACACGATACGGCAGCTAGCACTGCATTTCGGCACCTACCCTTCATACATCGTCAGTCTACAGACATCCGGTGGTGCATTGCACGGGAAGCACGAGGTCGCCTGCTCGTGCGAGCGGAAAGCTTGCCGTGACGTGACGGCGTCTACATACATTCACAGGCTAGAGCTAGACCACACCATTTAGGTGCTGTTTGTTTCAGTGCAGGCAACGGCGTAAATCGAAACTGAAACCAGCGCGAACCGTTACAGAGCAAGGATTAACGTGACTCTGATTTTGTCGCTTTGACCTTGACTCCGGGAACGGAGCGAATACCGCTGGGATAGGAGGGGGTAACAGTGATATACTGCGCTGTTTCGTCGTTTACGCTGCCATCTATTACGGGCAGGTCTGTCCAAACATCAAACACTGCGAAGCGATGACGGGCTCAAATCATCCAACCAAACAGCCTCTCAGTGGCAAACTAGGAGCTGGGCGAGTTGGCGCTGGTGAACGTGGATCTGGACGCAGCCGCGGGAGCCCCGCGAGCACCTGACGAACGGACGCGGACGGTGCCGTGCCGGCGGCCGGCGCGGTGGTTGATGGACGGACCCGCACCCGCGGGGCTGATGGGAGTCGTCAGCGTGGCGGAGACGAAAAAGCGTTGCAGAAACGAAACGAAACGAAACGAAACGAACGCTACGTTCCTTCGAGCTTATCAGCCAAAATCAACCAACCAAAAAATAATGTTTTTCTCATACAACGAATCAATCATTCAAATCAGTCGGAGAGAAAAAAATAAGTCATGCCGAATCCAGCCGAAACCGACGATACCACGCCTGGGATTGGCCTGTCCGCCTAGTCCGGCTGTGTGACAATACCTGGAGGCCCTAGCTGGTCCCCGGTTAAGAATTGCCAGCCCACCACTTGCTCGCTTGACATTTCAGCCGGCCCAACCCAATGTGAGACCTAGCGACCGGCACAACTCGCTGTAACGTAACACCACTTCAAACTTTTTATCTTTTTTCATTTTAGAAAAAAGTAACAGAACTTCAAACTAGTTTAACTAGATGTATTCCTAAAAAGAAATTTGTAAAAATCTACTAGTTCTTTTTAGGTTAAAACAAACCAGACCAAGGTCACATGTATACGAGCCGTGCTGCTGCTGGACTTGCAATGCATATTCCATGCAGAAACCGCACACTCCCTGGTGTATTGTCATTTGTACCAGAAGCAGTGAAGTCTGACGTCAGTGATTGATCACTTCTAATGTTTGTATCCTCAGCCGAGTGAGGAGCTAGCGGCACTCTTCAAATCACCTCCGTACCCAAAAGAAAAACATATATTCTATTTCAAACTGAATCAAACTATCTCAACTTTGCAAAATTTATATAAGAAACTACCAAGTTTATATTACCAAATACTCCCTCCATCCTAAGAGTGTGCTCATATAGTTTTGGACAAAGTCAGTTTTTCTTAAACTTGACTTTTACTAATTTATAGAAAAAATAATATCAATATTTATGTCTCAAAAAAGGTTTACTATTAAAATATATCTAGTATTAATCTAATAGTACTTATCTAGTATCATAAATGTTACTTATTTGGCATCATAAATGTTAGTATATTTTGTAGATTTGGAGAAAACATGAAATTGTTTAACTTTTTGAAAAAATGAGCGTATTTTTTTGGGACCAAGGGAGTAAGTATCATTACATTCATAATAAGTCATATTTCCAAAGCATATCTATTTGATATCATAAATGTCTAATAATAATATGTATAAATTTGATTAAAATTAAAAGTAGTTTGATTTAGGATAAAACTAAGCATCAAAACTTTTGAGACGGAGGTAGTAGCCCTATTTTATGGAAACGGGTGAACACCTGCCCACGAAATCAGAAAATCTGCCACGCAAGAAATAGCCTTTTGTGGTAGCTCAAGCTTCACCATCAAGGTCCGCCGTGCAGTATACCGGCACAAACGGCTCGCTTTAAAGAAGCTAAAGATAGCACTAGATTGTACCACAAGATAGTATGAATGGAAAATAGGTATAAGCTTTGCTTTGGTGTAAAGAGTTGCTTTTTTGTAATAATCCAAGCAGATAAGCCGTCATCAAAGGTTAATTGGCACTCCTCACCTGTACTGGTCTGATAAAAAGCATGATGGGCTTTCCTTCTACCTGACTCGATCGACCTGTAGAGCAATGTAAAGCCTGGAAAACATATACAAATACAAGCAACGTCTTCACGGTACAATGCCATATCCACATATATTTATATGAAGAGCAATGGTGTGGAACAAAAAGTAAAATGTCAACATCCAGATTTTAGAGTTACTAATAGCACATCCTTGTCGACTGAACATTTCTTACGTTCTGATTTCTGAAACAGGTTAGTTGCTCGTGCTGAAGCATGTTGATTCCTCGAGGAGAACGAATTTTGCAAAAATACAAAAAATCTCTCGTTGCAATCGCGAACGGAGCCTCCGACCACATGCTGTGGTGTGCTGAGCGTCTACCGAACACGTCGGTGGGCCAAACCAGACATGGCAATGATGGCATTAATAAAAATACTTGGAGGCTTGGAGCACGTCCGGAAGCAGCGATGAATGGGGGCGCTGCCGCTGCGGCGAGGCTTACGGTTGACCGGACTAACTGTCAGGTACAAGCATCCGATGTTGGTCACGGTACAGTAGCAAACGGGGACCGGATCGGGTACTCCCTCAGTCCCTGGTGAAGCGGTGACCGACCGACCGGTCGCCGACTCGCCGTCGTCTTCCTTCCCCAGCTTCTATGGGTCCGGATCTTCTGCGGCACTGCGGGGCAGGGGCTCCAGCTCCAGCTTGCAAGAGCAAGACGTTGTGATCACCTGCCTCTGCCAGCACAGTGAAAACGAGTACTTTACTGTTACCGTTACTGCATCACATTTTGAACCACATAACCTAACCCAACCCAGGTACCCTCGGCCGCCACTTACACGTGGGCCCGAACGGCGAGCACAGCACACTCCTCGGTCCTCCCCACGGTATAAGGCCAGTCGATTTAATGGCCCCGTTACCCATGCATCTATATTTTGGAAATAGGATCCATAAAACTCTCTCTGCTATCGTAAAACTCTTATCATCTCCGCATCAACATATTTAATACCATAAAACTCCAACTCCGATGAAACCCCACTAAAAACTGACCTAACATAACATATCATCCGTAACAACAGTACTAAATATGTAAATGCCCTGGAATGAAGCGGCCGACGACCCCTCGTGCACGGGGGATCCACACACAGAGCCACGCACACAGCGAGGGAGCCACCCCATCCCCACCCCACCAAAAAAACGCACGCATTCGGGCCACCGAGGCTGCGGCTGCGCGGCGAGGGAGGAGTAGGAGGCGACGGCCGACGGCGCTGCGGGCGACGTGGGTGGTCGAGGCCGGGAGACGCGGGGAAGCTAGCTGCTAGCGTAGCCGAGCGCGGCGGGTGGGCGGGCTCGCGCTGCGCTGTCGCTCCATGTCGGCCACCGGCGACAGCGGCGGAGATCAGGCGGCGGCGCGCCGCCGCTGGGATCTCACCAACAAGGGGCCCGAGAGCACGTAATGCCACTGCCTTCAGCTGCATTCCCTTCGTTATCAGTTTGTTTCGGTGGGCTATGTGTGGGTGTGGGTGTAGTCCCTGGAGCAATGTCGCTGTCGGAGTTCATCGTCTTAGCTTGTTGGCAGATCTGGCGGAGGTCTCCGTGATTCACACGGTTTTTAGTGATTTTTGGGGGTATGTTTTTACTTGGTCTGGGCTGGCGAGTTAGGGTTTGGTTGCTCTAGTAGGAGATAGATTGGTGAGCTTGGAGATTTGGAGCTTGCGGGGAGACAGAAGGTCGA